GATTGCTATGTGACCTTCTAAGGACAGGAAAAAGAGACTTTTATATGCTCCTTCCTTGTCCTTCTGCCCCAGGCAGCTACTTTCCTATTGAGCAACAGTCAGGAAGGGGCTGTAATAATTCCATATCCTCCAGAGACTAAAATTGGCAATGGAAAGAAAAGAGAGGTAATTGCCCTTCTTTCAATGGCTGGGTGTCTTGGGAGACCCACAGCTGTCACATGGAGCATGCGCCCTCATCACTGAAGGAGGTGAGGAAACAGAAGTCTTAGCAGAGAACCTCAAACCTGTTCTGTACCATTGCTCCCATGGTATATCACAGGGCTTTAGCCCTGAGAGCCAAGGGAAAGCAAAACTGCTCAAACGCTCTGGTTAAACTATGTTCCAGGCTTATAAAATTCTATACAGGTTTTGAATGTTGCTGTAGTGAAATGGTAATTAGAGTTAATGAGAAGCCTCCTGGGGAAATAGTAAAAATGACATTTTGTGAACCATCAGGTATTTCTACAACCCCAAATCCCTGCATTTATTATAAAAAAGGTGGTTAAGCCTAAACTCCACTTCCCAGCATGTCTCATCCTCAGTTCCAGAATGAGCAGGACCAGGGTGATGGATGCCCTAATGTGCCCTGGACAATGGACAGCAAGCTGATTCGATTCACCACCCACCTGATTTGGAGAGATCTTCCAAAAGATCTCCCAGCTTTGATGATCCACTGAAATGTTCTGGAGGGGAAAATAACAGTACATCTTATTTTAAGGACTCCCCAAAGGTGTCCAGAGAGAGGTCAGTGAGCCTGCCTTGCCAATTTCATTGTTCAAAGCACATTTTAAACTATACTGGGCACACGCTGAGTTTGCTTTCAGCTTTTCAGTAGCACTGCAGCTGATTTCCAGTCATTACAGACTTGGGAGGTTTTCATGATCCCTGTAAAAATATTTCATCATTGCCAATCATTTCTTTGTCATAAATATGTCTTGCCAATTGATTTAAAATGTAATAGAGGGCTTCCCTGGTGGCTCAGTAGTTAAAAAAAAAAAAAATCCACTTGCCAATGCAGGGAACGTGCATTGGCCCCCTGGTCGATCCCTGATCCGGGAAGATCCCACACGCCGCAGAGCAACTAAGCCCCTCTGCCGCAGCTCTTGAGCCTGTGCGCTGGAGCCCAGGAACCACAACTAGTGAGCCCGCAGGCTGGAACCACGGAAGGCCACGCACCCTACAGGCCGTGCTACGCAACAGGAGAAGCCTCCGCAAAGAGAAGCCCCCGCACCACAGCTAGAGAGCAGCTCCCCCGGCCGCTCCCAGAGAAAAGCCCGTATAGCAGTGAAGACCCAGCGCAGCCAAAAATAAATAAATTATTTTTTTAATGTGGTGTGTGTGTGGAATATTACTCAGCCAGTTGCAGCAAAATGAATCGACCAGAGAATATTATACTTATCAAAGTAAGACAAAGACAAATACTATAACACTTATACATGGAATCAAAAATATAATATGAACAAATTTATCTTCAAAACAGAATTACAGCCATAAAAAACAAACCTATGGTTAGCAAGGAAGAGAGGGACAAATTACAATGGGATTAACAGACACAAACTAATGTACACAAGATAGATAAGCAACAAGGATTTAGTGTGGAACAGAAGGGATTATACTCGCTATCTTCTAAGAACCGAATGTGGAATATAGTCAGGAAAATATAATCAGAATATAATCAGAATCCCCTGGTGGTCCAGTGGGTAGGACTTCTGTTCACTGCCGCAGCCCGGGTTCACTCCCTGGTTAGGAATCTAAAATCCTGCAAGCCACACAGCACAAACAGTGTTTAAAGAAATAAAGTGTACAATGTTTTGACATAAGGATACACCCATGACATCACCTCCAATACCAGATAATGAAAACACCCATCACCTTCCCCAAATTTTTTTGTACTTTCTAAGAATCCATCTCAACAACGTCAGATATGCAGATGACACCACCCTTATGGCAGAAAGTGAAGAACTAAAGAGCCTCTTGATGAAAGTGAAAGAGAGTGGACAAGTTGGCTTAAAGCTCAACATTCAGAAAACTAAGATCATGGCATCTGGTCCCATCACTTCATCGAAGATAGATGAGGAAACAGTGGAAACAGTGGCTGATTTATTTTTCTGGGTTCCAAAATCACTGTAGATGGTGATTGCAACAATGAAATTAAAAGACGCTTGCTCCTTGGAAGGAAAGCTATGACCAACCTAGATAGCATATTAAAAAGCAGAGACATTACTTTGCCAACAAAGGTCCATCTAGTCAAGGCTATGGTTTTTCCAGTGGTCATGTATGGATGTGAGAGTTGGACTATGAAGAAAGCTGAGCACCAAAGAATTGATGCTTTTGAACTGTGGTGTTGGAGAAGACCCTTGAGAGTCCCTTGGACTGCAAGGAAATCCAACCAGTCCATCCTAAAGGAGATCAGTCCTGGGTGTTCATTGGAAGGACTGAGGCTGAAGCTGAAACTCCAGTACTTTGGTCACCTGATGCGAAAAGCTGACTCATTTGAAAAGACCCTGATGCTGGGAAAGACTGAGGGCAGGAGGAGAAGGGGACGACAGAGGATGAGATGGTTGGATGACATCACTGAGTCGATAGACATGGGTTTGGGTGGACTCCAGGAGTTGGTGATGGACAGGGAGGCCTGGCGTGCTGCAGTTCATGGGGTCGCCAAGAGTTGGACACGACTGAGTGACTGAACCAAACTGAAGAATCCATCTCTCCATCTCTCACTATAGATTGGCTCAAATTTTCTAGGTTTTACATAAACTGATTCTTGCAGGGTTATGGGATGAATCTTGTTTCTCCAAGCATTCTCACCCCTAGTACCTCAGAATGAGACCGTATTCAAAAATCAAATCCTTAAAGAGATCATTAAATTAAAATGAGGTCATTAGGGTGGGCCCCAATCCTACATGACTGGTGTCTTTCTACAAAGAGGGGATTTGGACACAGACATAGAGTGAGGACACAGGGAGGAGAAGATGGCCACCTGCAAGCCAAGGAGAAGGGCTCAGAAGAATACAACGGTTCTGACACCTAGATCAGCTTCCTAAACTCCAGATCTGCGGGAAAATAAATTTCTATGGTTTAAGGAGCTCAGCCTGTGGTACCCACCTTAGCAAACCAGTACATACAGTATGTACTCTTGGTTTTGTTTTTTGGTTTCTTTCATTCAGTATAACTATGACATGGTAAACGTCCATATTCTTTTTCATTGCTGTATTTCATCAGATGGGCTTCCCTGGTGGCTCAGTGGTAAAGAATCCACCTGTCAATGCAGGAGACTCAGGTTCAGTCCCTGGGTCAGAAAGATCCAGTGAAGAAGGAAATGGCAAGCCACTCTAGTATCCTTGCCTGGAAAATCCCATGGACAGAGGAGCCTGGTGGGCTATAGTCCATGGGGTTACAAAGAGTCTGAGCACACATGTTCAACTATTTTAAATGGACCTTTTAGATCAGGTTAAAGAGTTGGATTTTTATTCTATTTACAGAAGGAAACCACTGGTAGATTTTGAGCACTAGAGTAACACGGTAAGATTTCATGGTAAAATTTCTTTCTAGATCACCTTCACAGCAGCGGTAACAGAAGTGAGAGTGGGACAAGGGGTCAGTTAAGGAGGGCAGTGTCAATGAGGGCAGATGAGAACTAGGGAAAAGGTGGAGACAGCAGAGACAGGGCAGAGTGAGCATCCAATTCCAAAGGTGTTTGCAAGGGGAGTCAGGACTTGGTGACTAACAGACTCACCAGTTGGTGTGGGGTGAGAGAGAAAGAGGGGTTAGGATGGCCCTGACAGCTTCTGGCTTGGGTAGTAATAAGCAGTCTGATAGGAGTGGGTCATTCCCAGTGAATTTAGGACAGGGATTAATCACACTGGTGGTGCCAACTCCAAGATTTTGATTGAGTCAAAGCAAGGGCATGTGCAGAAGATGGCTAAAACGTTGGTGAAATGAAGAGCTAAGTAACCCCATTTTATTTTTTAGACCTGCCACCCTCTTCTCTTCACTTGCCAATTTCATGAGTCACTGTCTTCCCACCAGCCTGGCTGAGCTAAAGGCCCCTCCTTGGAGTCAAGGTCTTCTCAGGCAAGGCTCTGTCCCTCTGGTTAATACTTTATATCAAAATTTTTTGTTTCCCACACTAAGCAGTGAGCATCTCAAGGTCAAGAACCCAGTGTTTTTTGTCTCTTCTCAATGTGTGGCAATGTCCCTGGCAATGGGCAGACACTCAGCTGACTATGTTGATGTAAATTAAAGAGGGATCTCCCTGGTGGTGCAGTGGTTAATGGAGAAGGCAATGGCACCCCACTCCAGTGTTCTTGCCTGGAGAATCCCAGGGATGGAGGAGCCTGATGGGCTGCTATCTATGGGGTCGCATAGAGTCGGACACAACTGAAGTGACCTAGGAGCAGCAGCAGCAGCAGTGGTTAAGAAATCACCTGCCACTGCAGGGACATGGGTTCGATCCCTGGTCCAGGAAGACCCCCACATGCTGTGGGGCAGCTACAACCCCGCCCGCCCACCACAACTAGAGAATCCTTGCACCACAGTTAAAGGTCCCGTGTGATGCCCCAAAGACCCCATGTGCCACAACTAAGCCCTGATGCAGTCAAGTAAATAAATATTTTAAAAATCAATTAATTAATTAATGGACGTGCAGTAAGGGAACCACACAATGAACAGTGACTAACCTTTCCTAACTCATACTGTGTAGTTAGTGGAGACCCAGCCACCATCCCAGCTGCCCGTGGTGGTGGGGCAGAGTTAACAGACTGCTTCAGCTTTCCTCCACCCCCAGGAGAAAATCAGAGGCCCACCATCCACCAGCCGCCTGCGGATCTGAGTCATGGACCGCTCCTCCTGCCAGGAACCAGCCCCACACGACCAGAGACGTGTGCTGGGCTTCCCAGCGCCCCCTGCAGCCCAGGTCTCCGGCCTTCTCATCTCTCAGCTCATCCTTGGTCTTTTAGCAGTTCATTCAGAGGCAGCGAGGAGCCAGCGTGGGCCCTGGCAGGCCCTGCAGCATTTCTGACTCCTGGGGCCGGCCTTCAGGCCTCGCCCCATGCTGTGGTGAGCTGGAGCGCTCACCAGTGTCTGCTGGGGCGCTGGAGGCTGACTTCTGTTCCAGACTGGTGGGCTGGGGAGACAAGACGGAACTAACTGACACAACTCCAGCAGAATACTGCTAACAGTTTCCAGTCCCTTTTCCCTCCCCCTTCTTTGCAGAGCTTCCAGAAAACTCCTTCCTCTTGCGTCCTCCTCCTATGCTCTCATCCATCCATGAGATCTCGGGAGTGTCTTGCTTTTGGAGCTGGAGAGTGTGGAGAGGTATCTGCAAAGTGGCCGTGACCTCCCAAGTTCTCACTCTCTTCATGATCTCTTCTAATCTTCCAAAGACCCTCTGCTCCCTTCCAACCTTTCTGTCTGGATTTCCATCTCATGATTTAAAACATATATTCTATCTCACTCACCCCACGTCCCTTTCCTCCCCATAGACAAAGCGTCGATGGACAGTAGGCTTAGTGACATCAAAAGGGATTTTTCATTTCAGAATACACATTTTTCCTTGGAAGAGAAAGTCAAAAATTTACTGGCAAAATAACATGGATGATGTGGATGCCTCATTTCCAGTAATTACGGTGCCACTGTCCCTGTTCCCTAATTAAGGCAAAAACTAGTACTCTTTTGGGGGCCCTAATTTCTTTCCTTTCTCATGTTGTCAAAAAGGAGTCCACCAACAGCTCCTTTTGAACCGAAAATTATTAAGCTTTAGTCTCAAGCCAAAAAAACATTTATTTTGGAAAGTTTGAATCAAATTTTCTGAGTTACTCATGAAAGAAAAGGTCATGAAAATGCAACATTTCTGACTTTTTTTTAACTTCCTCAGCTTTTGGAATTCTCTCCATTCAAAAATCTTTTTTTTTTTCCCAAATAAACCTGAACTTTTTATGCCCTCAGATTCTCATAACAAACTAGTCACAAGTTGTACTTGAAAGAGTGATATTTAAAATGTTAAAGTACATGAATAAGCTCTCTGCTTAGGTACCAATGAATTCCTAATACTAATTGGCCATCTCTTAGTTATGCATATGATTGTCTGGGGATGCAAATAATATAAAGAGTGGGAGGTTCCACAGTCTTGTTTATTCCTGGAGTATCTTAACTTCTAGAAATTTATAATTCTTCAAAAAAATGATGGAGCCACATTACAAAAATGAGCTCCATAATGCATTTCATCATTTTCTAAATATTCTACATTAGGAATAAATTAATGGAACTTATTTAAAAGCTGACTCAAGGAATACGGTAAAAGCACCCCCTTGCTGTCTGTATTTCTGTCTTCTACACTATTGCACTGACTGCATGATGGAAATGAGCAGAAGAGACAAATTATGAACCAGACATGTGCTTTAGTAATCTAGCAGTATTTGTAATTCCACATTCCCTAAGGTTGCAGGAACTAATTAAGTGCTTTCGCTTAAAAGGCCACCTGGGGGCTGCATGGGGTCCAGAAGTAAATTGTGAATAGAGCCATCAAATGACATGATTGGATTGTTTAATTCTATCAAAAAAGAATTTAAAATATGCATCGCTGAAGGTAATTCGCCATGAGAAAAATCTACTTAGAGAAAATCAAAAATAGGTTTGCCCAGCTCTGTCTCTCTATAAATCTTGATGTCTGTGTCACTCAGTTTGACTTTAAGAGCTGCCCCAGGCACCCAGGGGAGGCAGACGTGGCCCCGTGAGAGCCTAGGAACCAGGATGGCTCGCTCCTACTTCCAAAGCTGCATGAGGACAGCTGGGAGGCTGTGCGGGAGGTGGAAGCTCCATCAGGGAGATGCACCTCCCACCCTGAGCACTTCCTCCCAGACCGTCCCAGCTCTGTGACCGCCGGCAATACACCCGTCTCCTCCTTCTAAATCGAGGCGGTTGAAGGATGACTGAAGTAGAAACACAGTGTCTAGTTGAAAACCTCCGATTCTCCAAGCAGAGAATTAGGCTGAAAGACTAGCTGATGATGGACTGGCTTGGTTCTTCTTTTCTTTTCTAACATGTATTTCATTTGATTGAGGAGCCAGTGAGTTTAAAGAGTTTTGAATTTTACTGAAGAACGTTGACGGTTTCTACACTCTGAGAGAGTCTTTTTGCTTCAGAACCACCCCCTTGAATAATTACTCTAAATGACTGTTGATACACCCGAAATCGGAATTGCTCTTGAATACATGTTAAGGCCGAGCCAGCTCTTTAACGAGTTCTCCCTGGGACTCCCCTGCGATCCAGTGGTTAAGACTCTGCACTTCCAATGCAAGGGGCTTGGGTTGGCTCCCTGGTTGGGGAGCTAGGTTCCTGCACACCATGCCGTGCAGCAAAAAATTTTTTTAAAAATAAACAAAACCAGTAAGTTCTCCCCAAATGATGTAGCCCGCAACAAAAATTCTTTCCTCCGAACCCCTACACCACGTACCATCTGTAATACTTGTTTGGCACATACATGCTGCTGTATATTATTACTGCTCATTAACACATGTGTCCCAGTTTCTCAGCTAAATCGTAATTACCCTGAAGGCCAGAACCATTACAAGATAGATTCTTACTTGGAAGACACTTTAAAAGTATGATGGGGAAATTAAACTTTTTTATATCCCACAATGTCTTCACTGATGTTTCTAACCTATGTGCCAGTTTACTAACTCATTCTGGCATTGTTTATATGGACTGTGGCATTCTATATTTAACACCCTGTGATACCACTGCCTATAACAAGGGATATTTGAATACAGACCACTGACTAACTCTATCCTTCACTGAGTCCTCATTTTCAACAAGGAGTAAGCTAAAGTCCTTACCTTCTCCAGGAAAGCTGAGCACCAAAGAATTGATGCTTTTGAACTGTGGTGTTGGAGAAGACTCTTGAGAGTCCCTTGGACTGCAAGGACATCCAACCAGTCCATCCTAAAGGAAATCAGTCCTGAGTATTCATGGGAAGGACTGATGCTGAAGCTGAAACTCCAATACTTTGGCCACCTCATGCAAAGAACTGACTCACTGGAAAAGACCCTGATGCTGGGAAAGATGGAAGGCGGGAGGAGAAGGGGATGTCAGAGGATAGATGGTTGGATGGCATCACCGACTCAATGGACATGAGTGTGAACAAGCTCCAGGAGTTGATGATAGACAGGGAGGCCTGGCGTGCTGCAGTCCAAAGGGTTGCAAAGAGTCGGACACGACTGAGAGACTGAACTGAACTCTCCCCGGGAAATGGTGAGTGGGCGAGTATTTTCCAGATCCAATCGCATAGATCAAGCCAACCAAGAACCAGGATATTTCTGGAATCACTGACTCCGGTCTGAATGGACTGACCAGTCACAGAAAGCCAAAGTCAATCCCACTGATATTTAAGTCAGAGCAGACTAGAGCAATCAAGTGCAGCTAACCATAGCAGGGCAGAGAGGAATTCACCCAGAACCACCCCCAAATGCCCTGTAGCTGACTGCACGCCAGTCCTGGCACTTGTATAAATCTCACAGTCACAGCCTGGTATTTCACAGGCATGCATAATCCCATCATGACAAGATGAATTAACGACCTAGAAGAGTTACAAGCTCGGAAGACCAATGAGACTGGCCAGGTAACAAAAAACAAGAGAAACAGGCCCATCATAAGGCAGGCAACAGGGGGTGGTGGGGCCTGGATCAGCTGGGAGACACGCACCCCACCTAAAGGAAGCAGTTGGTTTTTGTTCCTGCCAGCTGACACCTTGCAGAAACTCAGGCCCAATGCTGCCAGAGTCTTCTTTTTCCAAAGAACTAAAAAAAAAAAAAAGAGAGCGATCTTAATTTTAATGTGAATGCTCCAAGTTTTACATGTCGGTAGCCAATAGGAATTTTTTGGAAGAGTGGGTAAATCAAAGAAAACACAACTGTATACCAGATGTGGCTCAAGGGCCAATAGTCTGCAGTGTCCAATTTATATAATTCGTTGTAACTAAATATAGCCTATGTTCCCCAATACATCAAATATTATTGTTTTTACAAGAGAGCACAAGGTTTTTTTTTCTGCCTCAACTAAACATTATTCCTGTTTTTCTTCATGTTGCCCTCCCAAGTCTAGTTCCAAGTTTTTAATTTGTGGGTTTTGATCCTCCGTTCTTGGTTACATCCTCTTAGCAGTTGGAAGAGTGCTTCTTACTGTTTTACAGCATAGTCTTCCACTTTTAAAAACAACAAAAATATTTTTTACTCCTTGTTTTTCCTGGGTTTAAGGTTAAAAAAAAAAAACCAAACCCTCCTCATTTTCTTTCCTGACAAGGACCAGCAACATGACTGATGTCAAAAGAGTCAAGGGGTGGGTGGCGGGGGGATTAAACTAAGTTTATTTTGATGCTTAGTCTTTTTACAGAGAGAATATTCTGAAAAATGTAAACTCGTTCAAAAAAAATACAGAAAGAATGTTGTTGTTGGTTCAACACCAGGCGCTTTGGTGAAGCGATAAGATTTTTAAAAAGCAAAGCTTTTCACCAGGTGTATGACACCATTTCACATAGCCATTTGGGTTTAAATGGAATGAAACTGGGAAAAGAATGCATTTTGCATTTGTAATTCAGTTAAATAGCTGCAACACATGAATTGGTCTGCTGGTAGCTCCCCGTATGTTCTTTTAGTTATTTCAACATTTTCTCCACAACCACTAAAAATGATCACTTTTCTAGGAGGCAGAACTTCTTATTCTTAAATCTAATAGTTAGGCTTTTTTTTTTTTTTTTTTGGCCTTTGGATCAATAATTACTATTACCAGGGTAGGTATAAACACCATTCTGAAAATCAATGATCAAGTACTCATCATCATTAAATAATACTCATATGCACTTGGGGGTATATTACTCTCCCATGACAGCATCCAAAATCTTACATACCATGCAAATTTTCATTTAAGAAAGAGAAAGGCAACTTCTTCTTTCTGAGATACACACTAAACTCCAATAATGATGTTGTATCTTACTCAGATCACCAAGTCATGAAGGAAAAATGACTATTCCTGAGGAGAATCTCTTTTATCTTTTATTTCAATCATGTATGGCTTTATTTGAAAAGCTCAGTTATTGATATTATGATAAGATATCCAACTTATTATCTATTATATTTTTCAACACAGTTATATATCAGACACAATCTCATAAATGTCAACATTA